CTACAAAACAAATTTGGGACTCCAGCTCTCATCCACTTCGCCAAGCTTTCCAGAGCCAATTCCCATTTAAACGAGATAACCACAGAGCCAGGATTCCCCATCCCCGTGGGTCTCAAATCCCCTGAGAAATTCCCAGGCCCCACCCCAGACCATTGCAACAGCCTCTCTGGGAATGGGCCTAGCGATCCGCGTCTTAACAAGCCCACCAGGGTTCTGACGCACACTCATGTCTGAGAATCACCGCTCTAGAGCAGCCCCAATTTATTATTATTATTTTTAATGTCATCTCGGTAAACCATCCCAGACAAGTCAAAGATTCTGTTATCAAAGCTCTACTAAGAATGCCTCTTAGGCCTAGAAAAAAACACACAATACAGCTTTGTCCAACCTGTGGGAAGGATCAGCCCCATTCACAAAAACACCTCTCATATTTCCCCCGCAGCCCTGCCACCATTTTCATATGACTTCGTCCCGTCTCCCCAAACACACAGGATGTCCTTCCATCCCCCGGGATACCTAGCGCAGGGCTTCTGGCATGAGAACAGCTCCATATATGTCCCAGGTGAGAACTTCGCAGTAATGACACATTTGCACTCTTAATAGGTATCAATAGCCTGATGCCCCCCCCCCCCCAAGGAAACGGCTCCAGAAAGTTTTATTTATTCCTCAGGAAGCAGGGGTCTATGCACATTCTGAGACTCTAGAAAGGCCCTATTTCTGCTTCCTGTTCCAGAAGCAGTAAGACACACTGGAGCTAAAACTGAAGTTCTGTTACCAGGATCACGGGTGCAGCAGCAATAACTGCTGTTTACTGAGCACCTACTATGTGCTAAGACCTAATCGTCACAATTCGTTTTTGAGAAACACGAGGCTCCCAGGCTCCTGGGCGGCCTCTGGATGTTTGCCACGCAAATGGCTTCTACCACCAACGGATTCTACAACCCTGGGAAACTGAGGTCCCTTCTCCCAGTCTACAATCTCTTCATCTGGAAAATAAGGTGATCTCCCCAAGGCCCTTTCTGGCCTAGGATGAGGGGTTCATGCAGAAACTGCCTGAGACATCGCCTGGAGCCAGGGGCAAGACCTCCCATCCCCAGGGGCTAGCAGGCCCTTTGAACCCTAACAACTCTATGAGATATGCACTACTTTATCACTCCCATTTGTCCTGAACCCTGGGCCAGGGGCTGGGGAAACAGAAAAACGAGGTGATGGTCTAGGAGAGGAGACGGGCAAGAGCAAGCGTGGACAGCGTGTAAGTGCAGCGATGGGGGAAGTACAGGGCGCTGGAGAGGGAGGAAGGAGGGGAGGCCAGGGCCAATCGGGGAGCAGGGCCCACACAAAAGCTTAGGCTGGGGGCATGGTCCAGCCGGCCGCCCTCTCCCGGGAGGCCACCAGTGGTGGCGCAAAGAGCACTGGGTGCCAGGAGACCAGGGTCCAGGCCCAGTGCTGCCACGGCGCAGCAGGGGGAGTGACCTTGGGCAATTCCCACCCACCCTCAGGCCACCTGTACTGTGCAGGGTTGGGGAGCAAACGGTCTGTGCAGCTGTGGCTCCTGGGGATCCTCCACTGCTCCCTTAT